GACCTGAGCTCAGTGCCCCCTGCCCCCTGACCTGAGCACATTCACCCCTGCCCCCTGACCTGAGCATATTCACCCCTGCCCCCACACCTGAGCACAGCGACCCCTGTCCCTGACCTGAGCTCAGTCACCTCTGCCCCTGATCTGAGCTCAGTGACCCTTGACCTGAGCACAGCCAGCCTCCAAGAACATCAGGCTTTGATCATTTGATCTCGATGTAACCCCTGTCCCGTTACATTCTGGGCCCTGAACCTGGGTATACATGTACCTTTAATGTTACAATGGTGTTCTCTTTTCTAGAGTAAAAAAAGCTCCAACCGCTCAATCTTTCCCAGTAGCTGTTATCTCTTAATTCTGGCACCATCCATGACCATAGTCAGATTGAGAAAGATGTAGAGGATAGTTTACATTTGCCATAGTCCCTCAGACGATCATTTGTAACTTTGAGAACACCGCAGGGCAGAGACTCGATCAGAAGGATTCAAAATCACTTTGTCAGGGAATGATGGCGATAATGTGGGAGGAGTTAGCCTTTTTTAGGAGGAAGCCCTGTCCCTCCTCTAAGGTCTATCACGGGACTTTCAAAGACAGGGAGTCAGAGGGCACCAAATCTTCACTAACTGGCATTCTCTTCCTGTCAATACTGTGGGAGAGGGACAGGGAGCTGGAGGAGGAGCAGACCAGAGGCATTATAAAGGACCCCAGCAGTTAAAACCCGGAAAGATCTCCTGTACCTAATCAACTTCCCATCAGTAACCTTCCCCAGCTTAAGCCCATCCTCATCACTTTCCTCGTCCTGATACCAGTGGATCATGTCAGAGGGAATCCACGTTGAAAGGACATCATACTTTAAGAAGGACACAAAACTTTGAAGAGGGTACAGGGAAGATTGACTAGAATAGGTCCAGCAATGAGGGATTATGGTTATGTCCGAGATGCTGGGGCTGTTCTCCTCAGAACAGAGAAGGCAAAGAGATTTTAGAGAGAGATATTGAAAATCATAACAAACTTAAGACTGAATAAATAAAGAGCAATTGGTCCCAGTGGCTGCAGGCTCAATAACCAGAGGACACAGATTTACGATGTTTGGCGAAAAAAACCGGAAACAACACTGGGAGGAGAAGCACTTCAACCCAAACGGTAGTTGGAACAGGAGTTAGCAAGTTTTATATAAAAATAACAACTTGTGCAAAATGAAAAGTTGTTGTAGGTGCAGAATGGAAATTTGCCATTTCTAAACTGTGGCAAATTACTCACTGTCTATGTTTGTTGAATAATTTATGTATTTTATAAATAAAGTATACTTTGAATTTATGTATCGATAGAAAAGAAATCAAAATTGCACAACTTCTGAATTGTTGCAATGTTGAAATCCATAATTTGACAGTGAACTAAGGCAGTCATAGAGTCATACAGTCATACATGCAGCACAGAATCCAAGCAGTCCATACTGACCATGTTCCCAAACAAAACTATTCCCACCTGCCTACATTTGGCCCATATCCCTCCAATCCTTTCCTATTCATGTACTTATCCAAAGGTCTTTTAAACATTGTAACTGTACCCACATTCACCACTTTCTCTGGCAGTTCATTCCACACACAAGCCACTCTCTTTGTAGAAAAAAGTTGCCCCTCATGTCCTTTGTAAATCTTTCTCCTCTCACCTTAAAAATATGCCCCCTACTTTTGAATTCTCCTATCCTAGGGAGAAGACCTCCACTATTCACCTTATCTATGTCCCTCACTGTCTTTTCCCCATAACCCTCAATTCTACCTTTAAAACAAACTACAAATGAAGACATAAAAAATTAAATATAAAATCATTTGTCTTCTCAGCTCTATTTAAAACTATAATGGCTGAAATTATAAGCTGTTCCTACAGTCAAAGATATCATTATCGCACTGTGGTGTACTCATATCATTTGTAAGGGTTTATTTTGAGCACCATTATGTTTCTCATTAAAATAACCATTTGAAAGTGTAGAATGGCAGCATTTTTATCTCCAATTAAAAACACAACACCTTTCTTGACTTAGTTCCTTTTAGGCATTTTTAAAATGTTAGTCTAACTGGGAAAAGTTGGGAGCCACAGATGAGATGGTAAAGAGTCACGTGTGAAAATCAAAACTTAATGTTAAGGGTCATACGGTTCCCATCAGGAAAAGATGTTTGACTTCAAGAAAACAGAAATGCATGGCACTGGGAACTTGGTTTATTCAGCTCATTCCTGGGATAAAGGCGTTGTCTTATGAGATTTTTCTCACTGGAGTTCAGGACAATGTGAGGTATTATTGTTGAAACTTGTAACATCTTGAGAGGCCTTGACAGCATAGTTTGGTGAATGTTTTTGATGAACCAAAGGGCTTTTTTTTCTGTGCTGTAGATCTCTAATACTCTATGACAGGGTGGATGTGGAGAGTATTCATGAGAGTTTAGAAGAATGAGACAGGTATCTGTATAAAATTATAACAGAGCTGGACAGACTAGATAGAGGGAGGATGTCTTCCCCTGATTGGAGAGGCTAGATCCAAGGAACACGGTCTTGTGATATGGAGTAGACCATTCAGGACTGAGATGAGGAAAGATTTTTTCACTCAGAGGGTGGTCAACCTGTGGAATTTGCTACAGAAGAGGCTGTGGAGACCAGGTCTGAGTCTATTCAAGAAAGAATAGATACATTTTTAGATATTAAAAGGCATCAAGGGGGATAGAGAGAAAACAGAAATATCATATTGAGATACAGGATCAGCATAATTATCCTGAATGGCAGACCAGGATTGAAGGGCTGAATGGCCTACTCCTGCTTCTATGTTTCTATGATGTTTTACCTCATTGGGGATATCTGGAACTAGGGGCACAGTTTAAAGGTGAGATCTCCCAATTAAGACTGAGATAACAAAGGAACTTCTGTCAAAGAGTTATTATTGCATAGAATTCTCTTCCACAGTCAGCAGTGGAGGCTGAGTCACGCATATATTTGTGGTAAAGTTAGGTAGATTTCTCGTTAATAGGGGAGACAAGGATTAAGGGCAAACAGGAGAGTAGAGGTAAGGCCATTACCCCCAGAACAAGTTTGAGAAACCATACGGCCTATTCTTGTGTTAATATCATGAGAATCATTCTGTTAAGGCCAAAGGTACATAGCTAATGGAGGCTAATGGAGGTTAATTGATTCATTGCCTTGAGCATATACAAAAAGGAAGCATGAGAGCTCCTGTGGCACAGTGTTAGTGTCCCTACCTCTAGGTCATGCTCCAGGGGTGTATCAAAACGTGTCGGTGCAGGCTGATTGAAAGTAGCCATTAACAAATTAATCAGAGGGTTGCAAGTTCTGGTCTAAATATTATTCCCTATGTCTCATGTGGCACATGGTAGTGCCTCTACTTCTTGGCCAGGAGGCCTGGGTTCAAGCCCCCCTCACTCCAGAGGTATATCATGATACATCTAAACAGATTGATGAAAAAGATCATGAAAATGGAACATGGGAGCTCTTGTGGTGGAGTGGAAGTGTCCTTTCCTCTGGGTCAGAAGGTCTAGCTTCAAGTCCCATCTACCCTGGAGATGTGTCTTGGCTGGACAGGTTGACTAAAAATAATTCATTATATAAAAGGGAACAAGCAAGGGTCTTGTGCTGCCCTGCGTAGTACTCCTATCTCAAAGCCACAAGCTTGGGGTTTAAATCTCGCAGCCGGGAGTTACATTCATAATTGGGCCAAAGATGTTAATGATCAACCCTCCCAATGTACCTGATGGTAGGCAGTAAGTGTCAGAGGGCCGACTGGTCTGTAATCCAGCAGAAGACAATAACGACCCTCTGCAGAACCTTGCCCATAACATTGGGCCAATTCAGTGGCCAAATCTTCAGGAATGAAGACAGGAGACAGGACAAATTGACAGTCTCCCATCAATTTATCTCCTAGCAGATAATTGGAAAGATAAAACAAGAATTCACAGGGATACTGAGGGCAGAGGATCTACAATGATACCGTTGTAAATGATGGTCCCTTTAAGAATGAACCAAGATATGCTTAAGTGACAATAGGGAGCAGCTGATGTTGCTTGGGGCATACATTAAGGGCTAGCTTTCCCCAGCAGGCGAGTTGGTTAGGAAGGGCAGAGAGCAGACTGGAGTTTGTATTGAGATATGAAATGCAAATAAACAGTGGTGGAGGTCAGACTGACTCCTGCTTCCTGCTTTGGCAAATGGAGGATTAACATGTAATAGTGCACACAAGAGAATAAAGTTACTGACAAGGATAAGTTCTGTGTCTTAGTTCCTGATTCACTGTTTGGCAGAAAGCCACTTAACATCCTGCTTTTGTATGTTATGATCACACAAGCTATGCAGCCTGAGAGGCTGGTAACAACAAATTCAACAGTAGACTAAATTGGATAAACACTTGAAGAGAAAATTATCACAGGGATACGGGAAAAGAGCTGCAAGACTGGGATTAACTGGATTGCTCTTGGAAGAGTCACAGCAATTAATTTAATGACATCAGATTCAGCCAAGGTCTTGCCAAATGTCTGAGATCAGTTAACAGAGCAAAGAACACTCCAACCATCTTACCAACCTCTCTGCGGATTTACCCCCCGTCCGCATGTCCATCATTTTCGGTGTCCTTTTCCAGGAATCTGTCTCAGCTCAACCCAGTGCAGAGCCTTCAACTCATTTCTAGACATTACTTATAGTTTGTTGGCGGCAAAGTTTATGGGGATATTCTGAGATGCACAAAAGGTATTGTATAGGTACGAGTCTTTCTGTTTGACAAGGCAACATCTCGTGAGCGACGTGAATAAGATTGAGAAATCACACATTGTGTATCAAAGGAGTCAGGAATCACAGTCACATGCATACTCTCACTCGAACACAAAACACATGCTCAAACACATACTCCACAATTACAACTGAATTCAAAGTAACATTCAGAATTGCGTTTTGTGTTCAGAATACATTTTGTGCTCAAATTTCTGGAGCAGGAATTCGATGTACAATCTTCTGATTCAGATACATAAGTGTGAAATAACTGAGTCATGGCAATTACCCAAAGGGCCAGACACTTAAATCAAACAAAGAAACTGTGGATGCTGGACATCTGGAGCAAAAACCAAAATTGCTGAAGAAATTCAGCAATTCTGGCAGCGTCTGTGAAGAGAAAACAGACTTAACGTTTTGAGTTCATTGGCCATTCTTCAGTATGTTTTGAAGAATCGTCAACAGACTCGAAATGCTAACTCTGCTTTCTCACTATAGATGCTGCAGAGCTGCTGAGTTTCTCCAGCAATTTCTGTTGTTGTGCCAGACACTTGCGTCTTTTTTATTTTTTCATGGGATTTGGGTGTCACTTGCAAGGCTAGCTCTTGATACCTATCCCTAATTGCCATGGAAAAAGTTTTTTTGTTAAATAACTGTCCTCAACATGACAGAAGTGAGCACTGGAGACAGCTTATATTCATAAATAACTGTCACAAAACCAAGTGACCTACCTCGATTGATCCCAGTGTGGCTGGAAGGAGAGTGTGAAGCAGATTGTTAATTATTTCTGTTCTTCTTTCTCTTTATGCTTGTAGCACTCAAGATGAAAATCAAGGACATAAAGAGAGAGAAAGGAGATCGCAAAATCATCTCGCAGAGGAAGAAGAAAGTGCTGAAGATGGGACCTTTGAAGAAGAAAGACCTGAAGAAGTTGGTTCTGTTCATAAAAAATGGAGCAAATTGCCCTTGTAATCAGCTGGAGAATCCGAACAGCAACTTCCTAATAATGGGACGAAAATGGGACAACCAATTTCTCCTCACTGTCATCCACAAATGGGACAAGAAAAACAAAGATTTGCGCTATGCTGTAAAAATAATGAAAACCTATCAATGTCCAACATATCATCATGTCTTTCAATGACTCTCTTCAGAAAGAAATTTACATGGAAAGTAAAATGAAACAAAAATTGCTTTTATAGTGTCCTTTAAAAAAATTACACTATTCCAGTCTTATTGAACCAATTTGTCCTTATATAATGATTCCTTTGTAATCTATATTGTCTCAATAGCCAGATGACATAGAAAGTTAAAATGTGCTTTAAATGATGAAGATGATTGATGATTGAATACTTAAATGCAAGATCAAAAGGCGAACAATAAGCTGATATCTCTCTCTCTATCGCTCTTTTCCCTCCTCAAAAATAATATTGCTTAGATATCTTCACATGAGGAACATTGAGTTTGAGGTGTGGGAACAAAATGAATCATGAGATATGTTACTAATGGATATCACTGTGCTTTGGAACACTTTCCAGTGAACAACCAACGTGGTGGATATTGTATTGTTTAAAACCGAAAAGAAACTTTCTCCAGCAAGAGTTGGTCTTCTGGATATGACACAGATTCCTGGGTTAGGTGAGAGTTGGATTGAAGGACATAAGCCTGATTGAAAGTGAAATCAGAAATGACAGCATGATTGTCTTTAGTTCGTTATCTAACCTATTGGACGCCCTACCTAATGTTAAAGGCAGAACTGCTTTACCCAGGTGTCATACACTTTGATGAGGATTGTTGGCTATCATTATGGCTTTAGTTATCCTGGTGATCTACTGTGGATTCAATGTTTGTATGTCCTGAAACCATCAATGTGAAAAAAGTAGCTGTACTCCTAAGGCATGGTAATGGCAGAGAGTTATTTTTCGATGTATGCCTATATGCATCTTCATGTATGTTAAAACTACATACCAACAGTGATTATTTTGTTTCTTTTTAAAATATTATTTCAACTTGCAATCTTTTTATTTTATTTTTTAAATGCCTAGCAATGCACTTCAAATCTGAGGTGCTTTTCACAGGTTACCTTGGCCAAGAACTTACTCATGTTTAAATAATAAAAAGTAAGTAACCTAAATTGACACAATGGCATGTTCTAAATATCTTAGTGAGTGTTGCTTTTGCAGGTCCCCTTTTATTTAAAGGGACACGGTTTCCGTCACTGCTGAGGAGAAACAAGTCAGCAAGACATCTTCAATCACACAACCCTGATCTGTGACCTCCATTGTGTACAATAAATGGTATCAGCTTCAAGTCTCACACATCATCCTGACTTAGAGATCATCGTTTTTATTCATTCACGGGATGAGGGCGTCGCTAATCAGGCAGCATTTATTGCCCATCCCTAATTGCCCAGAGGGCAGTTAAGAGTCAACCACATTGCTGTGGGTCTGGAGTCACATGTAGGCTAGACCAGGTATGGATGGCAGTTTCCTTCCCTAAAGGGCATTAGTGAACCAGATGGGTTTTTCTTGACAGTCAACAATGGATTTATGGTCATCATTAGATTCTTAATTCCAGATAATGATTGAATTCAAATTCCACCATCTGCCATGGCAAGATTTGAACCTGGGTCCCCAGAACGTTATCTGGGTCTCTGGATTAACCGTCCAACGATAATACCACCAGGCCATCGCCTTCGCATTTTGAGACAATGTTAGTATCAAAATCCTGGAACACCCACTAAATATTTGCAGTGTTTACCGTAAGATCTTATCAATCCAAAGTTTCAAAGCAGGCAGATAAATAGCATGCCAGGAACATAAACAAAGTTGCTGGAAAAGCTCAGCAGATCTGGCAGCATCTGTGGAGGAGAAAACAGAGTTAACGTTTCGGGTCCGGTTCTGAGGAAGGGTCACCGGACCCGAAACGTTAACTCTGTTTTCTCCTCCTGTTTTACAGCATCCGCAGTTCTTTTGGCTTTTAAATAGCACACCAGCCTTCCTGCTCCTCTGATGCTGCTTGGCCTGCTGTGTTCATCCAGCTCTACACCTTGTTATCTCAGATAAATAGCGTTGTGGCAGTGAGTTTATGCTTATGGGTTGCAGAGGTTCAAGGGGCACCTGTTTACCCAATTTTTGGGGCAACTGGAATTGGACAACCAATGCCAATCTTGCCAGTGATTTTAAATTTGATTAATGATTGGGAAAATCAAATAAGATGAAGGTACAAAGAAGTACCATTGGAAAGGGAGCTTGGGGCCACGGCATAGCTTTGACATTACAAAGGAAGCAGGCCATCAACATGGCAGGGGGGGTGTCAGGTGACTTTTAACTGCTCCAGTGTATCATCTACAGACCAGTGCCAGGGGTTCATCACCATGAAGCCCACCTCCAGCGGTAAAAATATTTCCAGTCCTTGAACAGAATGAAGCAAAATCTAAGCATCCATTCGCAAATTTTAATGAGAAACATCAGGAAGAATCAAAAAAGAATTTGTGAGAATCTACCAAACATGATAATCGAAGCACCTAGTGAAGTCAATCAATACTGTAAAGCAATGACTTGCATTTTTCAAACATCTGAAAGCACTTCTCACACAGCAAAATCCCACAAACAGCAAATATGATCATGATCAGATCATCTGTCTTTGTGATGATGGTTGAGGGATAAATATTGCCCAGGACAGGATGTAGAACTGTACTGGTGTTCTTTGAACAGTGCCCTGTGATGCTTTAAAGCTGCCAGAGAAGGCAATTGGGGCCTTTGTTTAAACATGTCATCCGTGAGACTGCACTTCCAACAGTGCAGCACTCCCTGGGATAGAAGTGCCGGTCTTCACTAGAATTTACACGATACTCTTTCTACTCAAGGACAACGGGGCTCTTACACCAACGGAGATATAGCCACAAGACTCCTCCTCCACAATATTAAATACTGCAGGAACTTAAGATCTGCATAGCTAAAAATAGAAAATTTTGGAAATAATCTGCAGTATCTGCAGTGAGAGATAAACAGTTACCATTTCAGGTTAATGATCTTTTGCTAGAACTGCAGTGGATGAGGTCTTGATGAGGTGGATGTGGAGTGGGTGGTTCCTCATATGGGAGAACCAGAGCTCACTATTTCAAAATAAGGCGTTGCTCATGAAAGACAGAGATGAGGAGAATTTCCTTTCTCATAGAAGGTTTGGAGCATTTGGAACACTTTGTCTGAAAAAGTAGTGGAAGCAGATTCTTTGAATATTTTGAAGGCAGGGGTAGATAGATTCTTGATTAGCAAGGGGGAGAAATGTTATGGGGGGGTTGATGCAATTTTGCATTAAACAGATCAGCCATGATCTTAGTGAATAGTGAAGCAAGATTGAACAGGGGAATAGCCTACTCCTGTTCTTGATTTGTATGTTTGAGTGATCGAGATAGAGTACAGCACATTGGTTAGGCCACTTTTGGGATACTGTGTTCAATTCTGGCCTTCCTCCTATAGGAAAGGTGTTGTGAAACTTGAAAGGGTGCAGAAAAGATTTACAAGGATGTTGCCAGGGTTGGCGGGTTTGAGCCGTAGGGAGAGGCTGAATAGGCTGGGGCTATTTTCCCCTAGATTGTTGAAGGCTGAAGGGTGACCTTATAGAGGTTTGTAAAATCATGAGGGGCATGGGTAGGGGGAAAAGTCAAGGTCTTTTTCCTATGGTAGGGGAGTCCAAAACTAGAGGGCATATGTTTAATATGAGATGGGAAAGATATAAAAGGGAACTGAGGGGCAACTTTTTCATGCACAGGGTGGTGTGTATATGGAACGAAATGCCAGAGGAAGTGGTGGAGACTGGTACAATTGCAAGATTTAACGGGCATCTGGATGGGTAAGTGAATAGGAAGGTTTTAGAGGGATATTGGCCAAATGTTCAACAGATGGAGGTAGCAACGAAATTCCGTGATTTGTCCATGTATCAAGGCAGGGAATGCAAAGAGATAACAAGGTGTAGAGCTGGATGAACACAGCAGGCTAAGCAGCATCAGAGAAGCAGGAAAGCTGACGTTTCGGGCCTAGACCCTGCTGCTTGGCCTGCTGTGCTCATCCAGCTCTACACCTTGTTATCTCAGATTCTCCAGCATCTACAGTTCCTGCTATCAGGGAATACAAAGACTCACATTTATACATCGCCCTATTAAGGCCTCAGAATGTCCCAAACTATTTCACACCCAAAGCAATACTTTTAAACTGAAGTTAACATAAAAATGGAGAAGGTGAGGCAGCCAACTGGTGCACAGCAAGCTCCCACAAACAGCCATGTGATGTTGAACCAGATAATCCATGTTTCCTGACATTATTGCTTGAGGGATAAGTAGCAAACATGGCAGAACTTTGGGGAGAACCCCCCTGTTGTTTTCAAAACGGTCTTAGACTCTTACACAACCATTCAGAGAGTGTAGATGGGGCCTTGGCTGAATGAAGCAGCTAAACGTGGCACACCTAACAGTGTCGCATTCTCTCAATACTGTACTGGTATTATCAGACCAGATTGCACTCCTTAGACCCTTAGATTGAAAAATGAAACCACAGGTAAGATGGCTAGCTACCTGCTCATTTCTATCCCGCATGGAGCTGGTGAATTTCCCCGTTGGAGAGCCACCACTGATGAGATGGTAAGAATGGACTCTGTCCGTGCTGTAGCCATTCGAGGGTTGTATTCTATAAGATTGGCCTGATTCCCCATTTATGCTCAAATCATGCAAAACTCTGTCTCAGGAGGAGTGTAATATAAATCATACTTCACTGTCATTTTTCCAGTCCCGTAGCCAAGCTTGTGGAACATTTACCGTGAGTCAGGATCGTTATAAGACCAATGGAAAGAGCTGCAGACTGCTGTGCAGTTATTTGGTGCAAATGCCTTTCCAGTTAGTAAGAACTGAGAAGACATTAGGCTGTTAAAAAGTCATCTTGCTATGAATGACTAGGATAAATTGCTAGGTTTTGGCAACAATCTTTGGTCTAGTTTCTCAGCGAGCAACATTTTCATTCTCTAAGCTTAATAGAATGTGAGAATAGTTAGTAAAGAGGGAGAACTGCATTTGTTTTCCCCTATTGTAGGGCTGTGAGCAATGGTGATGTACAAACAGTTATATGTGTATATGTAATACAGTCAGGAAATAGATCATTCAGTCTCTCAAACCTGCTCTGCATTTTGTTGTTCCATGTGGAGGTGCCTGTGTTGAATTGGAATGGACAAAGTCAGACGGCACACGATACAGTTACAGTCCAACAAGTTTATTTAAAATCAAGAGCTTTTGGAGCGCTGCTCCTTCATCAGGTAATCTTGTTTTCATTGGAAGACTGGTTTGGCAGCCTGAAACTGACATCAGCTCTTCCTTAGCTACCAACCATCGCACAGGGAGTAACATCCTCAAATTGCTGCAATTGTACAGGACCTTGGTGAGACTACACCTGGATTATTGTCTGCATAGTTCTGGTCTTCTTATCTGAGGAAAGGTCATCCTAGAATCCCTAAAGTGTGGAAGCAGACCATTTGGCCCATCAAGTCCAGACAGACCCTCCGAAGCTCATCCCACCAAGCCTCACCTTCCTACCCTGTCCATATAACCCTGCATTTCCCATGGCTAACCCACCTAGCCTGCATATCTCTGGACACCATGGGACAATTTAGCACAGCCAATCCACCCGAACTGCACATCATTGGACTGTGGAAGGAAACCAGAGCATCTGGAGGAAAACCACGCAGATACGGTGAGAATGTGTAATCTCCAAACAGACAGTCGCCTGAGGGTGGAATCGATCCCGGGCCCCTGACGCTGTGAACACATATCTCTGGATTGCTATCTGAATAGTGTAACCATTGTTCAACTTCATTCGATATAGCTAGGTCAGCTATTTTTATAGATGGTAATGATCCAGGTGATGTCTTAAGACTGGTTTCAACTGCCCAGGAAGATCAGAGACAAATTTGCTCTTTTTTCTTCCCCACCTTTCTAGCTGTTACTGAGTTCCTGAGATGATCCGCTGTAGTTGGGGAAGTAGTGTCAAGTCACAGTTCTCCAGCTATCAAGAGCATGCAGATCAACTTTGATGGGGCAGCTAGTCAGTTCCAGTCTGTCGATTTTGGGTGTTCATACAGCACAGTCTGAAGC